CTCACCTCAGCCTCCCAAAGCGCGGGATTACAGGCTGAGCCACCGAGCCTGGCTTAGATATTATTTTTTAAGTCAAAATTGGAACATGGTCCCCATGTGGCTTACCTTCAGTGTTTGTAAGTTGCTGCCTTAAAGTATTTGCAGTGATAGCAAGCATGCGCTGTATTCGCCAAAATAAAACCACGTCATTGCATTCCAACTGAAATATTAAGTAATTGAGATGATCAGAAGCAAATTTAAAAATAAAAACTATGACCATAAACACATGTAATTACTAAAATCAGCACCTATATCTTAGGCTTTAATTGAAAATACTCAGGTTTACCTAATACATACGCTTCTACTATAGATCTAAGCTACTGAATCTTTTCTATTAATGAACCTCTGCATGATTTGGGTTCTTTCTGTCCCCACACCTATATAGCTAGGTTTTTGATTCCTATGACAAAGCAAACAAACTTGGAATATAGCAAACTTCATTATGCTATATACCATAGAAATTCATGTATATACCTCAATATATATTTAGTTTCAGTTAACAACCATGTTTATCTTAAACATGTCCTTAGGTTAACCTCTTTTTTGAGAGGTTGTGTACTTAAGCCATTTTTGAAATTTCACTGTATATAAAAATACATCGATATTTTTTTAAAAGAAGCTTATATTGCAGAGAAAGCTCTTATCAACAAATTATGCAAAAAACGTGCCAATTTTACACAGGTACATGTAAATACAAATTTCTCTTCAGTTGCTGAAAACAAAAGAAAAGCAGTTTAGGGAGCTCGATTTAAAAATATGCTGATTAACAGAACTTTTTCAAAATAATATTTCAATTTAATATTGCTTGTAAGAAAATGCTCACACTACGTTAGTTTGCTGCCACCTAGAGGCTCCTTTGTAAAATGTGACATTATATTATAAAAGTCTACAAGAACTTTGTAAGGTTCTTTTAAAGCATTACTTACAATAAGAAATAGTGATTTGAAGAAATAATTACAATGCATGAAAATATCTCTATAAAATTGTTTTTAAATATGATTTCCATTATGCAAATGGGTGGTTATGAATAGTTATACATACACAAACACATAAATCCTCCCTGTGCATAAAAAAAGTTGAGTAGAAATACATCAAAATGTTAACTAAAATTACTTTCAGGTCAGAGGACTGTGACTATTTCTTTTCACATATATGAGTATACATGTGTGTGCACATGTGTGTGTATAGATATACATATATTAACCATTTATACACACACATTCTTACAGGCATTGGGGATAATATGCATGTAAGATACTAATAGCTACTAACAAAGTGGCAAATATCTTTGAAAAGACAAAAGATTATTCCTTATAAATCACACATACTTTTCCCCCAGATGATCAAAGGGCTTAAAATTAATGCTAAAACTAAAGTTTACTTTAAACATCTTAGCAACTATTGGTAAGAAACATTTCTCTTTGTTTTGGAAAGCTTACCTCAGAATCAACAAAATGCCTTTGGTAGTAATAAAAGCCTCTTCGACAAAGGTTACAGTGGTTTAGAGCTGTTTTTAAAAAATGTCTTCTATAAACTTGATGCCAAGTATCCTTAATCTAAAATGAAAAATCGAAAACCAAAGTTACTGTACACTCCTCATATTGATCAACCACACTCTAAGAAATTATACACAAAATTCATTAAAAAGTTACTCAAAAGCAACAGAATGTTGTTATTCAAACCTTTTTTACCCACTTACATATTTTTCCAAGACAAAGATTAGACTTATTACTACGCTGACCCTTTACCAGGGTAATTTGTTTTCAACAAGTACTGTTAATATAATTAAACAGCTGTCTTGTAGAGCAGATAGGGTGGGGATTATCTCCTTCGAATTCAAGGTGAGGAAACTATGGTAAAAAGAGGTGGAAGGCCTTGTGTAGAGACAGAGAGAAGACTAGAAAGCAGGCCTCTAAACATGTCCATCAATCCAACAATGTTTCCTTTCTTAAATTTCACTGCTACCACAACAGTATGATCCCTACCACTTTGTTACTAGTCTGAGTGTTTAATGTTCTTTCATATCCATCGTCTTTTTTGAGCATAACAACAAGGATAAGCAGAAGAAACATAATCAACACCATTTGAGAGATGAGAAAAGTAGAGCCAGGAAAACTATATCAATTACTAAAGGCAATATTACTAGCTAAAGTAATGGAACTATACTGGAATTCACATCCAATGTTCTTCTCATAATACTTTGCTGCTTATTTTATAGCTCTGTAAAGTGCATTGAATAAAGTGCCACTTTAAAAAAATTGAGACTTTCTTGTTCATAAACAGTAATTAAAATTACAGTCAATTCATATTTTAAGACACAGGCAAGATTAAAAAAAAATAACAACATCATTTATCTCACTCTAAAGAGAAAATTCCTCCTTTTGTACAGCCAAAGTGCCATCATAAAAGCCATGTAAAGTTTAAAAGTATCAAACTGAATACAGTTTACTATTAATGAGAGCTAGGACAAATGTGGAGAAATTAAACCTATATTCAACTAAAAAATCTCACGTAACCATTAGCTTTAATCTCATTTCCAATTTATAAATAATGCTTGGAGATATAGCAGCTTTAACTGCTTTAAGTATTACCAGTTTTGTTTCCTTGTTCTGACCTCTGGTGGAATTTAAAATAAGTATACTCATTCCTTATGTACAGAAACACAGAGAGCAGATAATCTTTAGAAAAATTTATGTGTGGATTTGAAAATTTTTATATGATTGCTTTCCCCACTATATTTGGTTTTTTAAAATTGGGTTTCACTTAAGCTAATATTAAAAGGAGCTTTCAAGTCCCTTAAATCTTTACTAAGCAAAAGAGAATACAGACCCAGAATTTTTTGGCTTTTAAATTTGTCTCAAATAAGGAAAGCGTGGACTATTTTTATCTTCACACGTATTATAAATGAGGAAAATTAGATAGAACCAAAGGTCTTATTCGATTTAATAAAATTTAACATTTAAATTTTTTCTAAGTCCACTCATCTGAGTTACATTTGACTGTAAAACATATCTGTATATGTGTATATAATCATATTTAAACAGAAATTCTATTTTGCAGTCTGAAACACCGGGATGTAGGACCAAGGTCTAGGTGGGTTTCATCCCTTCTGCAAGAACTAACTGCTGAACTTGCCCAAGTAAACTTCTCCACTTACAAAGTAAAGCATTACCCTTAAAAAAGTAATACTGAGAATAAAATTTCTACTCTTCACACAATCCAAATGACTAAACTTTTATTGTCAGCAAATGTATACATGGTCAATGTCAAACTAAGTACCTTAAATATCTAAGTAAGACGTGTAGTAACATTTTACTACAAGAGACAAAGATTAAGGAAGCAGATTCAGGATTTTCAGCAATATTTATTACCAAGCTTGGATCTACTTCTACTCCTCGGGATTCAAGGTTCTTCCGGACTGTGGTTATTTCATCACTTGCAAGATAAGCTGGGTGCTCCTCATTACATTTCAACATCTTCTCCAATTCATTCTTGGTTTCATTGTGAACACACTTTAAAATGTTTCAAAGAGGACTGTGTTTAGATGGTTCATAATTTGCCACTTGTAAAAACAGAGTCTCAATTTTAATAAATATATTACTGTTGCATAATAGGTAACACAAGCTTAACACAACAAACAAGAAAGAATATAATGTGCTGGCTGGTGAACATGATTAACTGGCCTATGAATGCAGAACAGCTTGTCTTATAAGAAGGAAAAAAAACACAAGAATTAGCCCTATTTGTTCCTTTTCTGTTTTGCTGAAATGTTTCACTGTTGAAAGCAAAGCACAAGGAATCTTCCTATTTACTTTCTTTCTTGACCTTTGGGTATAATTTGAGTCTAGGAAAATGTACCCTGAATACATGGGAAGAAATTATGTTCTATAAATGACTCATATCTAAGAATTAGATTATTGTAAAAACTTGAACCTGTTGACATTTTCTTTTCAATTTTTTAAAAAGGCTTTCATTAAAAGTTGTATTTCAGACTACTACTGTAAGATATCTGTAATTCTTAAATTCACTTCTAGTCTCTTCTCTGTAATTGTTCACTATCTCTTCACCAAAAGAGGATAACACATAAACTAGTTACAAGTGTGATAACACGATTCTTATACTGTGTCAAATGAAGTTTACTTGGTCATTGTTCAATCCTTCAATCAATATAGTATGATAAATGAAACTAACTTCAAGTTCATTTACTACTCTAAAGAAGTTACTAGAATAGCACCTTGCCCCAAACTGTACAGAATTTGAGTATTTATATAAGAATAACACTTAAATGCAAATAAAATTAATATTCTCTGAAAACAAGTCACTTAAGGAGAAATAGTATTTAACAAAGGGAAAGCTCACTGTTTGCTTAAACTCTGGCCATTCAGTCTGAGGCAGAAGGAAAATATCTGGCCATTGTGTGCCCAGATTTTTCACCATTCCAACCATTACCACTCCACTGTCACCACCACACCTGGCCTTCAAAGAGAACTACTCTCCCACCTATCCTGATTGAGATCTCCATTAGGTCAGCTCTAACAAGGTGAGAATATTTCAAAGGGAGGAACTTTCCTAGAAAACTGAGGAATAAGAAACAAAAGGACAAAATAGTTTTCAGAGCATGGATTTCTCATCTTTCTTTTCCTGGTAAATCCTGTCATTCGATAGGATAAAATGACTTGTTACACAGCTACCTAGACTTGCAATGTGAGAGCTGGAGACATTCTCAACCTCTTCTAGAATCTATTTCTCACTGTAACTTTCAGTTATAAGGTTTAGAACAGTGGTTTGCAACTGGGAGTGGGAGGGATAGAAAGGTTACAGAAGGAGAATTTGACTCTAAGTCTGACATGGATCATCCTTTGAAGGAAAAAACAAAATAACATATATAAACACCTCCCAAGGTGATTCTGACATCCCCTCCCTCTATATCCCAACTTATGGATTCTGTTCTACAGTCAGCCTGGGTTATACACAAGCTGCCCTGAAATCCTGGGGGAGAAGATTCATCTCTGAAAGGCTTCCAGATTCCTCTTCTAAGCTTACAGACCCTTAAAATGAATTACTCTGCTTCTCTTGAAGGGATTTCCTATGAGTTTAAGCTCCTCAGAAAAATAACTTAAAACCAGGAATCATTTCTTTCCGATTGTGTTTGGCCAAAGCATATTTACCACTCGTTGCTGAGGCAAGTTCTGCCATCACTGATTGTTCTAGAGGCTCTAGGCCTAATTTCACTAAGCCTTGAAGGTCAGGCACTATTTTTCTTTGAGTTTATCTGCCTTATACCAGTTATTTCTAATCAATGTGTTTTCCGGTATCAAAGTTAGAAAACTTTGATGAATCCCTTAGAAATTCTTTTCTAACAGAACTGCTTCTCTCAGTCCATCTGTAGAACAGAGTAACTGATATACCCTGAACACATGCATGATCAAATCACTAGCTCTGTCCAGTCCTCAGATTCTCTTCAGTCTCTTAATGACTCATTTCACACAAAAATCACAACAAAAAAGAGAAAAGGAAGAGATGTCCTATTTTGAGATAAGGGTAGACTTATACCTGACAGAGAACATATGAAACAAGAAATGTGGGAAACTAGGAGAAAATAGGGTATTAATTATATAATCACTCTGTATTTAAAATGAAAACAAGCCGGGCTCAGTGGCTCAGCCTGTAATCCCGCGCCTTTGGGAGGCTGAGGTGAGTGGATTGCCTGAGCCTGCGGGTTCGAGACCTGCCTGGGCAACGAGACCTCCTCTCTACAATAAATCAAAAAAGCAGCCGGGTGTGGTAGCGCATGCCTGTAATTCCGGCTACTCGGAAGGCTGAGGCGGAAGGATCACCGGAGTCGAGCAGGCGAGGCTACGGTGGCTGGGAGCGGCCACTGCACTCCAGTCTGGGCGACCGAGTGAGACTCCAACTCAAAAAAATAAAAAAAAAATAAAAAATAAAATGAAAACAAAAATTTAAATAAAGAATTAGGGATATGTCATTTTTTATTCTCTTTATTGTCTCTCAAATTTTCCATTTCTTGGTCTCCTTTCTCTAATTAAAAATCCACAGAAGAAAACAAGAAAAGAAAATGGATTGGATGCTACCTGTTTATTCTCATTTTATTCATTTACGTATTTAGAGTCTACATTCTATTTAGAATATTTCATTTAAGGAATGAGCAAGAATCTAACAGTGTGTATAAGACTAAGTGCTAGATAGGAAAAGAAGTCATAAAAGTAAGACAAGAATAAAAACGGTGGAGATAAAAAATACAAAAGAATAAGATAATGTGAATAGACTACCAATAGTAAATATAACAGATAACATAATGAAATAAGGCAAAAATAAATCATTATATCCTTTCCCCCCAATCACATTCATTGTGCATCCCTCTGAAATTATTATCATTTCTTTCTGTTCATTAACTTTAATTTTTTTTATGTCAAATAAGGAATTGAACAGGGTAATCAACTACAAAACGGGCATGTTTCATCTCTGTCTTCTAATAAGGTAGCTACTTCACTTAAAAAAAAAAAACTTTCTTATATACTTTATTATTTGTTCTAGAGATTCACTATATTTTAGAAGGCTGATATAAAACATTTGAAATTCTAAAGATTGGTCTAGAGCTATGAAACGGTTATAATTTATTGCCTGAATTAAAATGAACAAAATCATATTATCATGAGACTAGAGATTTATTTATTTTTTACCTGTTCTTGGGTCCGATTCTTCCAGTATAACCACCTCTTTTTCCAATCTGGACCTACCATGTTTTCAATTGCATTTTCAGCTAGAAAAAAATTTTTAAATTAATTTATCAAGAATTTTATCATTTACCAAGTACATAAGTCATAATAATGGTTTTCTTTTTTTTTGAGTTGGAGTCTCACTGTCACCCAGACTGTTCCCGGCCACTGCAGCCTCGACCTGCTGGGCTCTGGCTATCCTTCCATCTTAGCCTTCCAAGTAGCCAGAACTACAGGCGTGCGCTACCACACCCAGCTAATTTTTAAAAATTTATTGTAGAGACGAGGTCTCGCCAAGTTGCCCGGGTGGGTCTCCAACCCATGGGCTCAGGCAATCCACTCGCTTTGGCCTCCCAAAGTGCTGGGATTACAGGCTGAGCCACCAAACCCAGCTGGTCTTGCTTTCTTAGATACTTCAAAGTGCTATATCAATATGAAGTCAGTTGAAATAAAGAAAAAAGGACATAACTGATATGATACATATACAAAGAAATAATTTATATGTGCTTAGAATCTATGAAAAGTACAATTGCTTATAAAATTCCTATATGTTCAGCAGCAAACACACTAAAATATTCTGGATTATATCTTTTTAGAATGAGTATATGGTATATATAAGCATATATATAAGCATCATGTGCCCAATGACTTATTCCTTTTAGTAATTACAAAGCACTTGACTAAAAAAAAAAAATCCCACAAATAACATTCAACTGTAGTATCAGTGACAAATACTCTGAAATGTTAATTATACTTTTATGAGTGTTCACTATAGTTGGATGGCTCCTTCACACTGCAAATACTCAGAACTCAGTAATCCATGTTCGTACTTACTATCCTTGAGACGAGCCTGAAGAGCCTCTTCCATAAAATAAATGGCTGCATCCCACTGCTGCTTATCAGATATGGACCGGTCTTCTAAAGCATTGTGTTGAATAACCCTCTGAAATAACAAGAAAAAGCTCACTTGTTTTATGTCTCATCATTTTGGTAATTTTACTCAAATTGACAGTTTAATAGATATCCAAAAAGGACAATATATCAAAAATAGCATAAAAGCTATATTTGTCCCATAACAATGCAGGAGCTCCTTTTATTTGCCTGCTTATTTGTCAGCTATCTACTTTAAAAGCAAACAGTAAAGATTCTCTCTCAGCACAAATTAAACAAGCTACCACCTGGGAGGAGGTAATATTACACATGGTTGCCAGGCACTTTGGGAGGCCTAGGTGGGAGAACGAGCCCAGGAGTTCAAGATTAGCCTCATCTCTACAAAAAATAAAAAAATTTGCCAGGCATGGTGGCATGGGCCTGTAGTCCCTGCTACTCAGGAAGCTGAGGAGGAAGGATTGCCTGAGCTTAAGAAGTTGAGGCTGTGGTGAGCCGTGACCCTGCCACTACACTCCAGTCTGGGTAATAGAGTGAGACTTGGACTCAAAAAAGAATTACACATGAAACTACATGGAATACGACACTCAGAACCCTAAACTTCAGGGGTTAATAATTCAGATAATCTCTACTACTCCTTTTTGCTATATGACCTATAGGTTTGCCTTTTCAAGAAACAGGAGAAAAAAATTAATAACCATTATCTCACTGTTAACAGCAATGAAAAAATAGGATAGATGCTTACAAGTCTAGACAATCATAAAATTACTTTTTACAATTGAAATTTGGTCTCCAAATTTTATAATTTTTGAGTGAATGAATGAAAATGGAAACATTCTCTCAGAAAACCAGTCTTAACAGGGTACCTGTATAAATATGGTTTTCAAACATGAAGACAAATATTTCTTCAAAGCATAATTATAATTACAACCACGCCATAGTGAGACACGCATTTTTCTAGAAAACTGCTCAATCCTGTTATTCGAAAGTTCCACCAGTAACTCTCTGAGCAGAACAAGTACTTAACAGATTTGATTACGGTGGTGAAAACATTCTACATAAAGAGTTATCAGGTGGTAGAGGTCAGGTGGTAGAAAACAGAAGTCAGGCTTTATTTGCAGTTTGACAAAGCTGGGCTTGAACCTCAGCTCTGCCCACGACAATATAGGATTGTCTAGAATGAAATCCAATAATGCTTGCAAAATACTTAGCAGAGTTCCTAGCACATAATAAGTATTCAATATATGATTTTAGGAGTCTAACATTTTATGATACAAGTCTACTGAGAACAAATGCATTTAGTTTCTTTTATTACCACAGAGGGTAAAATTAGAAGCAGCTATCTATAGACTGGCCCATGAAATGGCTAATGAATATCAATTTTAGGATGTTTATCCGAGCCTGTTTACGGCAAAGTTTGATTTTTTATGAAATGATAGCCAAGAAGGAAACAGTAATTAATGATTATGAAAGGGTAGAGAAATGTTAAAGGGCAGATTATAGATAAAAAATCTATTTCTTTACATTATCTTAAATTCAGACTGTAATTTAAATAGTCATACAAAAGTAATCTCCCAAGAAAGAGTATTAATTTGAGAAAGTATATAAAAATATGAGGAGGATCACAGCACAGTGGCTCATGCCTGTTGGCCTGTGAACACAGTACTTTGGAAGGCCAAGGCATTAGGATTGCTTGAGCCCAGGAGTTTGAGACCAGCCTAGGCAACATAGCAAGACCTCATCTCCACAAAAAATTAAAAAATTAGCTGGGTGTGGTGGTACGCCTATAGTCTCAGCTACTCAGGAGGCTGAGATGGAAGGATTGCCTGAATCTAGGAGGTTGAGTCTGCAGTGAGCCATGATCGTGCCACTGCACTCCAACTTGGGCAGCAGAGTAAGACCTCGACTCAAAAAAAAAAGGGGGGCTGATACTCTAATATATAAACAACAAACTACATACCAAGCTGTCCTCCGCAAAGTCATTCCACTTGTGGCGCTTAATACTTTCTTCCTTAACAGCCTCTTTAAGTTTATCAAATATGTCATCATGCTCTTTCCCTTTGGGTTCTGTCATGAAGCGGGAAAATTCTTCTTGTAGGGTCTCCCAAGCAACCTAGAGTTATTTTAGAGAGAAAAGCTGTACTTAATCTACGTACTTTTATTTCATATGTACCATGAAAAATAACACATGAATTCATGATAAACAGATGTGATAAATCAGCTTATCAGAAAATAAATGTGAAACTACATTAACAAAAAGGCAAATACAAACTATGGTCTAGAGGTCTCACAGTGGTCTCTCTCTGGTGGGTCAGATTTGGCCTTCTGACATGTTTTGCTAGACATGCACAGTGTTGCACATTTTAAAAATTAGCTGCCAATAGTTGAAAATTGAGAGACTTTATATAAAAATTTGTGTTTCCAGCTTCTCTTGAACTATCTGGGAACAGCATTCCTATATTCCTACATGATACCACCTACTGGAGCTGACCAGCGCTGCCTCCTTCAGATAAGGTAAGCATTCTGAGTCTGCCACCAGATTTACTACACCTGCTTCTTTCATACCATAAAAAGTCTAAAATTTCTCAGTGATTCAATCATCTCCACATCTTTGTCTTTAAGCAAAAGCATGAAGCAATGCATCAATATTTTCAATCACAGCTGAAAAGAATACAGCTTTGTACTCCTAATTAACTCCTCCTAATTATCTGAATGGTAAAAGGAAGAGCACAGTGTCAAAAATAACTAAGAATTCAATCTACTTATAATTAAGAGGGCTTTTTAACTTTTGGATGTTATATTACACCTATCTTCATTTTAAACATAAAAAAAATTATGGCATAAAGATACAGAAGGAGTGGCAGATGAGTATTAGGATCCATGCTTCCTGACCTTCGCCAGATCCACATCATTTCTACTACACCTAAAGCTGAAAGCAGACAGTGATAGAAGACAGAATTATTGCCATTTTTATGACCAATTCTACTGCCTGATCCTTAGGATATGAAAATATCCTGTCATGTGTCAGGGACCCCAAAATGCTAGTGCCAGTAATGAGGAGAGCTAGCGTATTGGTGCAGCAGCTCTCTAATCACTTTAGGGGTAAATGTGTTGAGAACTGGCCAGGGCTCAGCAATGGGCAATTTAGGAAGAGAGGCTTGAAGAAACTGAGAACAGACATAAAGAAGCTAAGAATGGAACAAGATAGGAAGGGATGAAATCACAACTGGACAATTAGAAACCAACATTATCTCTGATAGGTATGAAAAACAAAATCACTTTTAACATTGACTTTGACTTTGTGAGCAACCTCAAACAGCAGCACAGGACACACTGACTCTTGACTAGAATAACCACTCTTCACAGAGTAATGTGCATGACAGATCAACTCGGGTAATGATAATCATAATAACAGCAGCTGTATTTCCTGAGCAGTTATTATAGGTTAGGCATTGTCTAAGTATTTTAAACATTAACTTATTTAATCCTTGTAACGATGACAGGCAAAATTACTTTCCTTGTTTTACAGATGATAAAACAGAAAGGCTAAGTTACTAGTCTGAGGATCACACAGCTGTTAAGTGATAGAGCCAATATACAAGGGTAACAGAAATAGATTCTTTAAGGTAGTTTTTTATAATTCCTAGTCTAGTCTCATCTTCTGTCAACTAAGGAAATAATTATTTAAGTATAACTGAGCCCTGTAGAAAATCAATAAAGGAAATGTTTAATCTATTAAACATTTTCCTTACAGAATCTCCATCCACAGAAAACGTTTAAAATGTTTCACATTCAAGGAAATTTTGATGGTTTTGTTAAATGTTATCTTTGGAAGAACCAATACTCTCAGGCCAACACCACACAAATTAGTAAATGTTTAAAACAGTAATTAGTAGCAACATCAAGGTTAGTCCCAATGTAGAAAACATAGAGAAACAAAGAATAAATGAAGCATAAGGACCCAAAGGAAAGATAGTGGCTGTGATGGGAATAAAACCTAAATTCACAGCTCCTTCTCCCTTCATATGATGCTTCTTACCCATTTAATTAAATTATATCCTAACCTCTACTGCTTTATTAGGAAGCTGTTTATCAGTCCACTGTTTAAGCTTGATATCCACTGTAGTATTAAAAGTTCCTGAATTCATTGTCTGTGCAGCTGGAAGATAGATGTTTTCAATCACATGAGTTGATACTCTTTCCCACAAGGAATGTTGAAGGATTTCTTCCCTGAAATAAAAAAAGTATCAAGAACACCAAACCTAAATTTTAAGCTTTTAAAAACAGCTTGAATGAAGTACCATTAACTTAAACTGAACATATTAAGTTTTGAGATTTGTAAACATATGCGAATTACAGCAATCAAGATAATGAACATATCCATCATCTCCAAAGTTATAATCACCAAACCTGCTTTCCAACACTACGATTAGTTTGAATTTTCTAGTTTTATATAAATGCAGTCATACAACATATACTCTTTTATTGTCTGTTTTCTTCCACTCAGCATAATTATTTTGAGATTCATGTTATTGTATTAGTATTTGATTTCTTTTATTGCTGTGTAATATTCCATTGCATGAATTTGTGTTGATGAACTCAGGCTGTTTCCAGTTTTTGGTTGTTACAAATAAAGTTGCTATGAGTACTCATGTACATATACTTTCATTTCTCTTGGGTAAATATTTCAGAGTGAAATGTCTGTCTCATATAATAATCATATGTTGAGTTTTTTAAGAGATTACCAAACTGTTTTACAGAGTGGATGCAACATTTTACATTTCCACAAGCAGAGAATAAGAGTTTGAGATTTTCTACATCCTTGTCAACACTTGGCATAGTCTGTCATTTTTATTTTCAGTCACTTTAGTAAGTTTATAGTTGTACCTCATTGTGGTTTTAGTTTGTATTTCTCCAATGACTAGTGATTCTGAGCAACTTTTCATGTAGTTATTTGCCTAGTATTAACACATATTATATGTTTATTGTGGAGTCCAAGACCGAAAACTTCTTTGTACACATACTACAATTTCTCAGATCACAGAATAAATATGTTGTGAAATGAAATTTGTTAATACTTTATGACTAAGGTGATGGTATAAAAGATGCATAATCATACTGAAAATTCTGCCTTAAAACAACAAAGATCAGTAAATAAGAAAGTCAACTATTTTAATTAAGCAGAAATTGAAATCTCAATAAAACATTTATTTGGGTTTCCCCAAACTAATTTCTGTTGTAATAGAATACTACAACATTATTAAAAAAACCATTGTTTATCACTCGGTAGGTTTTCAGAGTAACCTCTTAACTCTTTAGGATATAGCTGCAAAGCTCAGGTTAGCAGAAATATGTCTATTGTCCAAAAGCCACAATGAACTCCCTTTGGTGAGGAGAGTCAACATCCTCTTCCCTCCAAGACTTACTAAACAGTCTGTGTAAAATTAAGTCTACTTAATCAATGGACTTAGCTGTTGGCTTTTCCTTGCTTATTTACAATCTGTTCTTCAGTTACAACCAGAAAAGAAAAGAAAGAGTATGAGGAGAGGATATACCACTGAGATCCAGAAGGACAAAGACGATTCAGTCACTGAGTTTATGACAGAGAGTGGGAGAATTTAAGGAGCACATCCAATCACTAAATCCCATGAATTCTATCTTCTAGGTAACCTCTCAAATACCACAAAAATGTCTAGTCTTCTTTACTCCACCACCACTACCCAAGCTCACACCACCACCACTGCTTGCCTACATTACCACAACAACCTCCTCGCTTACAGTTGTTTCCACTTGTATTTCATTTTCTACACTACAGAGATCGTTCTAAAATGTAAATCTGACTCAATTCTCTTCAATGACCCCCACTGCTCACAAGATAAAATTTAAGCTTCTGCACATGGCTTATAAACCTTGATAATATGGCTTACCTCTATTGCTTCATCTCCTGTCCCTTGCTTCCATCTATGCTAAGGCCATAGGACACAGTCCTGTGCCACCCTTCTTATTCTCACCTCCTGGTCTTTACAACATTCCTGCCCCTGCCTTTACCTAACACTTATTTATCCTTTAAATCTCAGATGATGATACTGCAAATCTTCTTCGATTTCCCAAATCTGAGTTAGGGAACTCAACTGTACTTCCTCACTTTCCTTTTGTTATTTTAAGCTAAAAACAACAATAACAAAAAAAACCTAAATACTTTTCTCCAAATATTGCATGTGTATCATTTTTTTAAACAAAATTATTTCTATAAAACTAACCAGCTATCCTTCTAGAAAATGTATATCTATATTGACTACTTGAAAACAGAAACAGGTTCACCACTGAGGAAGAAAGGGCACTGAGATGGAGAAACTAGTGACACTGAATTCAAACTTATGGACTAGACACTACTGTACAGGTTTAATTTTGATAACCTTTAAGTGAGAAAACAGAAGACAGAAAATATTAATCATAAATAGCAGTAAGGATAGTTCTGTTCCAAGAATGATAAATTCTTAAAAATATCACAGGCTTCATGAGAAAGATAATTTATCCACAAGGAATTTGTTAATTAAAATACAACTGCAAAAATTTCTGTTATCCTAGTACTTTGGGAGGCCAAAGTGGGAGGATCATTGAACACAGGAGTTCTAGACTGGCCTAAGCAATATCATGAGACTTGTCTTTAAAAAAAAAAAAATTGCCGGGCTCGGTGGCTCAGCCTGTAATCCCGCACCTTTGGGAGGCTTAGGTGAGTGGATTGCCTGAGCCCGCGGGTTCGAGACCTGCCTGGGCAGCAAGACCTCATCTCTACAATAAATTAAAAAAAAAAATCAGCCAGGCTTGGTAGCGCATGCCTGTAATTCTGGCTACTTGGAAGGCTGAGGTGGAAGGATCGCCAGAGCCCAGCAGGTCAGGGCTGTGGTGGCTGGGAGTGGCCACTGCACTCCAGTCTGGTCGACAGAGTGAGACTCCAATTCAAAAAAAAAAAAAAATTAAAAATTGTCTGGGCATGGTGATACACACCTGTAGTCCTAGCTACTCAGGTGGCTGAGGTGGGAAGATTGCTTGAGCCCAGGAGTTCAAGGCTGCTGTAAGCCATGATTGCACCACCGCACTCCAGTTTGGGTAACAGAGTGAAACCACAACTCAAAAAAAAAAAAGAGACACAGCTTGCTCAAGATACATAAAGTCTATTTGGTTACAGTGTCCCATTCCAACAAATTTAAAACTCCCAAACTTACATAAAACATGAACTGAAGATGGTAGTTTGCCTTAAAAAAGATTTGCATGAAAATACTTCAAAAGAATGTATTTTACTTGCTATTTTTAAAAATCTGAAATAGCATTCAATACAAAAATGTGATTTGTACAAATACGTTAAGCATGTTACAGAAAGCACTAACTGTGCTTACTCAGAAATGAGAACCGAAAACATGTACTAAATTTCCCTTTATAAACAAATTTTTCCTAGTTTCTATAATTAATCCAACAAGAGCAACCAGTTCTGACAGATCTTCACAATTTGATGAAGCTTTTGCCTAAATGATTTTATAGAAATCATGATTATGTATTTATTAAGCATAAGATTAAAAAAGGCAAAGATGAATCAAGATTTTAAAAGAACATGGAGAAAGCTATCTTCTAAAAATTCAACTGGTTAGACTATAGTAGTAGTTAGATATAGCAAAAAAACATACTTTTATGTGTTTGTCTATGAGCCAAGGCAACAAGTCACTGCTTTATTGATTTAAGTTTGGATTTTTTTTATAACTCATATAGTAAGTCTTTAAGAAAAGGGATTAATATCAAAGTCAAACACTTACCAGTGTTTTGGTGTAACCTGGCTCAGACTGATAACTTCATCAAGGATTTCATTTTTAGCTTTTTCAAATAGTTCATTCTAGACAATACAGATACAAGTAAGACAGTAAATTTTCCGTTATGATTTTCTGAGATAACCAAAAGGAGGACTGTGACAGGCTAGTAAGCTGAGTTTAGGTTTGAATGCTTCTGACTGGCAGAAATACTCTTCAATTCTAGTCTATTTTTTAGGAATGCCATTATCCAGATAAGGAAAAGAAACTGACATAAATGTCTACCTTATTTCTCAATTCTGAATGCAGTTTTTCATACATTTGTTCCTGTAAGATTTTTACATAACAAATGTTATATGAAAACACCAATACATATTCATTTAGTGTATCAGAAATAGTAAATTAATGCTGTGTTTTACAACTAATGGGCATTTTAGAATCAAGGAAAAATAGTATTTAGTTCCCACTAAATTAGAATATACTTTTCCAAGGTAAATGCTTAAAAGGTAAAAAGTTGATGTATAACTAAAAGCATTTCAATTACATAAATACATACTCTGTTAGACCTTTAAAGCATATTCTTTACCTTTTCAAAACATATTTAAACATATGTTTTGACATCTTATGATCTCTAATTATAATAATTTAAATTATGGTATAAGGGATAACAGGTCCTAGGGATATATTCTTGCAGCAATTAAATAGTTATGGTCAAATCAAAGCAATTCAGCTTACCAGATTTCTCTCATCAACATAAATTTTGTTAGAACACAGAATTAAATAAAGATATATACAAAATACATGTATACCCAAATCCTACCCGGTCAAGTTCCCGTAGGCGAGGATAGTTATTCTTCCACTCGGTTTCAAGGTTAAAACGTGTTGCTGAGGGAGAAGGAAAATGTCCAAGTTTGATGATTCTCTTTCCAGATGTAGTGGTTAAAGGTTTTCTTGCTTACCTTCTATATTACCTGAATTTCTGAGAGTGTACCTGTGGTATCTTAATACCTTAGGCTCGCATCATCTCAGAATTTTATTATTGCAATAGCTTTCTAAATTATTCTCCTTGATTCTAACTCTTTTATTTTCAATCCACAAATACACAGCTGAAGTAGTTTAGTACAGAAAAGATGCTGAGAGTGGATTCTGCAGCCGTACCACTAAGATCCAATTCTGAATCTATTATCTATGCTGTGTGACACTGAGTAGATTATTTGAGTACGTTATTCTGTCCTGTTTTCTCTTCTTTAAAATGAAAAGAAAAATAATAAAAATAATACTTACAAGGTTGCAGAAATGGGATAAATAGGTAGGATTTCCATAAGAGAAAAGGAAAGGACAGTATATTCTCACCAGATGAAACTAGGAAAGCAAAGACACTGAGCAGGAAAGTGTGGAATTCAGGAAACAGTACAATGTAAATAAAGCACAGACTGCTCTGCTTTGCAACACATTTCCTTTCTTCTCCCTAAACAGGGGAATCCAAATTCTCTACAGTTTACTAAGTTTTCTCCCAAAAACTAGCAAAGTTTCCTCTGAAAGGAAAAATCTTGTTCTTGTACAACTTAAGATTTGTAGACTTCTATTTTCCAGATGTTATCCTACCATAAACAAACTACCAACCAACTGTTAAAGAAAGGGAATACAGAATCTTATGAATGGTAAAGATTGCCAGCTAGTAAAATGACTACATTTGTTTGCTTATTTTAGAAATCCAACTTACCTTTGAAACTATCAGCCTGTTGTTCAACTGATTCTCGTACCATTTTCCAAAAGCAGTCTGATACAGCAAGGCTTAAATTTCGTGTCGTCACTTGGTGTGCCTTTAGCATGCTTGTCCTAAAAAAAAAAGAGCTAAAGTATAATTAAAATGATAAAATGGACAACAATACTATCACCAAGTCTAATGATACTATAACATAATGAGAATAGTCACTCATACCTTTTATAAAAGTGTTGTCAAAAAAACTTTCTGTGATGAAGAGAATGTTCTATATCTGAGCTGTCCAGTATGGTAGCTACTAGCCACATGAGGTTATTGAGCCTGTGAAATGTGTGGCTAGTGTGACTGAGAAACTGAATTATTAATTTTATTGAATTTTAACTAAATTCAGTAACTAAACAGGACTAGTGATTAACCTACTAGACAGCACAGTTCTATATGGTTGTAAGTTCCCTCCCAATAGATAACATGCAAGACTATGGTTTGAAAAAATTATCTTGATTTACTAAACTAATCTAGAGACAAACACTTTCCTGTTTCTAGAAACTCTTGACATAATAAAGTTTTAGTATACCGTAATCCAACTGACCTTTGGCTCTTCTTTTTTGCTTATCTTATTTTCTATAATATCTATTTAGGGATACCCGTTGAATCTCCCATTCTAACTTTCCCTAATACTGTAAGAAAAATATATATACACATTTAAAAGTGAAAGTGCTAATTAAGAAAAAAATCACTTTAAAGGTAAAATGACATAGAGGCATCTGTGCTGTCTTTTGGTGCTCACATCCAAAGGAGCAGTTTACTATGCCAGCATCTATTGTGTAGGTGGTAAACGCCCAATTCTGTTAAAGAGTAGCTTAAGGACTTGCTTATTAGATACTAGATATTAGATTACCACCTGGGGAAAATTCTAGAAATTCCATGTTGAAAGAACAGCTATAAAACAGTAATTTTTAAATGAAAACATTTCAATTTAAGCTACTCTCTCACTGTAAAATGTTTTAACAAGATACCTACTTTAGGAGTTTTGAATTTTGAAAAAATTCTTCTTCATATTCTCTTATAGCTTCAATGCTTTCAGAGCTATTTCCTGGGGAAAGAAGATGGTCAAATTTTCACCAAAAAATTAATCTTTATTATTTGAAAACATCAAAAACTAAAAATGAGTTATAATAATGTTAAAATAAGTTACATAATTGCTTACCTTTTCCTGTTACAACAGCAAAATAACCTAAGGCTTTCATTGGGAAGAGTTTTCCTTCAATTATCTGCTGAATCTATTTTTAGAGGTGGAAAAAACAAATGTGAGATGTAGCTTATATAATTTTTAAAATTCAAAGGAGAGCATAATAATTTAATGATGCTATATATATGCTTAAATATATAAATCTGTACAAAAGGATTTAAAATGTATTTAAGTTGCTATATGAAGAAAAAATAGACATTAATTTTACTATACTGAAAATCTTTAAAAAATATGTATCAAAATTAAAACTTGAAATGATGTTTAGTGCTTTGGAGTCAGATAGACCTTAGTTTAAATTTCTGCTCTGCCACTTAGTAGCTATGTGGCCTAATGTAAGCTACTTAACTTTTTAAAAAAGTGTTGAAAGAGAAGGCTATAATGAGATAATGATACTTAGCACGGTGCCAGACATGTAGAAGCACAAAATAAATGGTAGCTATTATTATTTCCCCATACTTCTTTAAATATCTAATCAAGTTGGATCTTTTATTCCTCCTCTGTGCCCTTCTTTTAAAAAAAATTTGGCTTCAAATATATGAGTTGGTTCTCAACTCTTTTAGGGTAAAAAACCCTTTTCTAAATAAATGTGATAACAACCAGACTCTATACTCCCTAAAAATGTGTATCTGCACAGACATCTATCATTCACATACATGGTAGAAAAGTTTCTACCCTCTGAAGCCCATTCAGATTAATACTAAGATGGAATTCCTCCTTTCAGTCAAGTTACAATCCAAGCTAATGCTGAATCTTTGATATAAAAAGGACAAGCTTCAAATGCATTTCAAAAGAAATACAAACTCATTATCCTAACACAGAGTTGAAAGAAATGAAAGGAATGCAGAGAGATGGGAAGGAGGTCACAGAAAAGTGCTTCTCCCTCACTTCTCTCCTTTTCCACATAAGAACCATTATTGACACGGCAGGCCTTATCCTTAAAAATAAAACAGACCATAGGTCACGGAGACCATGCAGCAAAGAGTTATCATAACAGGGCTGAGACTGCTATCCTTAAAAAGAACTGCTTGCCTTTGGATGGCATATGGAAATTTAACTGCTAAACAATTCCTTACACTGAAGAAAATGTTCCCCTAAATACCAATGGCTCATTGTGTAAGTTAGGTGGTTATGCTGAACACTGCTTTCCTTTTAGAAGTCTGGAATTTCGGTATATGAGGATGCCCACAGAACCAGTCTCCAGTGCAGAGCTTCTAACAAGCAACTTGTTGTTGAAGGAATTAAGTGAGACCCGTGTGACTCTACTGGGAGAAGACTCTTAACAAAAATTTGAGCCTAGTTTCCTTCAGACTTCATCACACTCACCTTTACTTTGTTATTCTGTTTCTACTTTCACTGTAATAAATCGTAGGTATAAGTACGACTATGTGCTGAGTCCTGTGAGTTCTTTTAAAGAATCACTGAACCCAGGACTGGTCTATCTCTGACACAGAAGCATAGTCCCAGACAATGTAAGATGAAAGGAAAGAAATTCCAAGTAGTAGCACTGGGAATGGGTACTTAAAGTCTGAAGCTGTTTTATGGGGGCTAATGATACGGTAATAATGACAGATGACAATTTGCATGTATATAACACTTTTGTGCTAAGCATTATTCCAACCATTTTATAAAATATATTCAACTAATCAAATCTTCACAACCAATGAGAAAGTTGGTTGAAAAGTACTATCTTTATTTCCACCAGATGAGGTAGTCTAAAGCACTGAAAAATAATCTATCCAAGTTTATACAGCTAGCAAATGGTAGAGTCAGGATTTGAAACTAGGCAATCTGGATATAGATTCTATACTCTTAACCATTACCTTATACCTTTATAATTAAGTAGAGAGTATGTCTTAAGTCAAGATTTGCACCTTAATAAGACTTACATACAATGTTACCTTGAAATAAAACTCTTTCCTTGTTAAGGGAGATAGAGGAAAGGTATTACAGATTTCATAATTCTAAAAATATATTTCCCTAGGAGACACTGAACACTATGTATAGAATTCACAGAATTTCAGAAATGAAAATGACCATATCTAGTCTTGTCAACTAGACTAATAGGTTACATTCTGCACTGACTGGATTTAGAAAAGTAACAAGGGTTGCCCAAGGACACAGAACAGTTGGTGATGGAGCATGAATAAGAATGCTGGGACATGATTTACAACTCAGTGCTTTTTCTACTCTAAAAATCTGCTATACAGTCTTTTTAATGAGTTAGGAAGATAATGTTTATCTGCAATAATGGCATATGATAAGGCCCAAAAGAAATCCATACTATCATTAACTTATTTATTTATTTATTTTTTGAGTTGGAGTCTCACTCTGTCTACCAGACTGGAGTGCAGTGGCCGCTCCCGGCCACCGCAGCCTCGACCTGCTGGGCTCCGGTGATCCTTCCGCCTCAGCCTTCCAAGTAGCTGGAATTACAGACATGCACTACCACGCCCGGCTGATTTTTTGATTTATTGTAGAGATGAGGTCTCGCTGCCCAGGCGGGTCTCGAACCCACGGGCTCAGGCAATCCACTCACCTCAGCCTCCCAAAGGCGCAGGATTACAGGCTGAGCCACCGAGCCCGGCATCACTAACTTATTAACATCAACTTTAAAAACAAAAAGAACCATAAAAATGAAGTTAATGATTACTTGTCAGCATAAACATTTATTTAAACGAGCATAAACAATATTAGCAGTTTCAGTATTTCTGAAGCAAATGATATATAACATTTTATTTATAAACTATCCCCAAAAGGCACTTAAGTAATTTACCATAACTTTCTAAAACTTTTGTTTTTAATGGGAAACAACAACAAAAAAAATCCCACTATTACACTCTAATAAAGTATTCCATGAAGATTTTTTCTTTTTAAATAAACAATCTCTATCCCAGCTGGAGCATGTACAAAGAATCACAATAAAGAATTTGCTCTCACCCTGCTTGGACTAGCTACATTTTTCTCTGCCAGGTCTACTTTGGTCAAGACAAATATGGTTCTTCTTCCGTGGGGATCCATTTGACTAACCAAGTCAGTAACGATACTGCGCTCAGCATCCACAGATCCATCTGAAGAAAATTGAAAAATGACACTGTGAATTTTAAAAATGTAAAGCAGATACTAAAATCTTAGCACAAGCTACACTCTTGTGCCTACCTCACAGCAAGAATGATTTTCTTAATACATTTACCGTATTTATGAAAAGAAGTTCTAACAGTAAAAGTTTCAATGATGCCTACAGTGAAATTCATCAAGATAGTTCCAACTTCACTTCTATTTACTAACAAAATGAACAAATACCAAGTGGAGCGAAAAAATGCATTTACCTTGTATGTTTATATAGCATGCATTATTTAGAGAAAAGCTTGGATTGCTAAAAAAGAAAACATATCAGTATGATTAAAATCTTTTGATGTGATTTACCTTGAATACATAGTATGATGGCATTAGGATTCTGCATATAAGCTTTGCTGATACTGAAAATAGTTTCCTTTGTGTCAGGAGCCATGCCTGATGTCACAGTCTTGAAGAAAAAGGTTTTAAATGTCATTATAAATGTTTTCCACAATAGGAATACAATTAAATACATGTTTTATATATACTTACATTAATCACACCTGGTAAGTCAACAAGCACCATCCTCTGTAGTCCAGGGCCTTTTACATTTAAGGAAATGGTCTATTCAGGAAGAAAACAATTATACTAATTTTTGGAGAAGTTTGGTAAGAATTTTTTTGGTGACATATCTTATGAAACTTCTGTATCTCATTCATTCAGATACAGTACTCAGAAAAAAGTTATTCTTTTTCTGATTCTAAAAGTAACTATTCTAGAATATTATTCACAAAATGATATGTCACTTGGACTGTTTTAAAAAAACTGTATCTTGGAAAAGCTGCACTCCAAACACAGTACTAAGATTATGATCTATTTGAAATCATAAACATTGAATTTCCATAAAACACTATGGAACTGCAATCCTTACCTCAGGGCTAACAGTATAGCCTTCTTTCACATTTTTCCTCATTCGAAGTTCTATTTCATGTCTTAATGCTGCAAGCTAATAGAAAACAACAAAATCTTAAGAAAACCTCAGTTCACAAATATTCCACTTAATTCTTTTTTCAAGCTCATACAGGTTATGAAGTTACACATATGAACCTTACATAAATTCTACTCACATCTTCCTCTTTGGTAAGATCAAACTCCCGAGAACTATCTTTAAATAAGGCCACGTGGTGAGGACCTTCACTCAGAGTCACCTGATGGTAATAGAAAACTGAGATGTAATGGATGCATTTTCAATTAACATTATGTCCTACAGCCCTTACATGGTTCTGATGGGGCACTGTATTACATAAATCCGAGAGTCCCTTGATACTACACTGCAGGAGCATCCACTGGAGCTGTCAACATGGTAGAGGTCTGAGACCACAATAATTCTGAATTCGTATTTTTCATACTTATGTCATGCATATTTTGATTTCCCAACAAGAATGTTGTCTACTTTATATCTCTCATGACCTAAAATGCTGCTGCCCCTCTCTTTCCCCAAAGTTATACAGAGTAATAAGCACAAAATCATCACACTAAAACTTGAAAAACTAAAATAAAATATTGCCCTGAACGTCAAAGATAAATTTTGGTAAAATACCTTTCATTTATTCAACATCCATTTATTGAGAATGAATTCTGTGTCAGGTGTTGTAGGTGGGGAAACACAAAGAGTTGACTGTTCCTGTTTTAGACCTTACTACATTCTGGGAGAAATATACATAGATGTTATAGAAGGCAGTGGGAAAACCTAGGATGCCACAGGAGAGAATGGAACTGACTATAAAGGAGCTAAGATAGGCTTCACCCAAGGAATGCCATCTGGGCAAGATATTTGGTAGCACCATATATATTAACAGTCAGTAATTTCACAAGAACTTTTAAACTTCACTGTCCTTAACTTTTCCATTGTCACTTTTCCAACTTCTCTATAATCATATTATTTTACAAATATAATTCCTCCCACTGATGAGCTAAAGAGGCTAGAATAAAAGCAAAAAAGCCATTTGAAAGCAACCATGGCAGTACAGACTAAGAGACCAGGATCCCAAAGGTTTTGGGGAGCATTTTCCTGCAGCTATTTTCCATCAGAGTATTTGTTGATTTGTGGCCCAGGCCAGAGGCCAACAGAAAAGCTTAAAACCTGTAGCAATTTCGTTACGTTGAGTAAACAAAAGTTGGAGCTCAGGGTTATCAGGAAGTCACAACTTAAGATGCCAAGAACCCAAAGAAACGTTTTTTTTTTTTTGTCAGGGTCTCACTCTGTTGTCCAGGCTAGAGTGCCAAGGCATGACCATGGCTCACCACAGCCTCTACTTCCTACGGTCAAGTGATCCTTCTACCTCAGCTTCCTGAGTAGCTGAGACTACAGTCACGTGCCACTATGCCCAGCTGAAATTTTTCTTTTTTTTGAGCTGGAGTCTCACTTTGTCGCCCAGTCTGGAGCACAGTGGCATGCTCACAGCCACTGCAGCCTCAACCTGCTGGGCACAGGAGATCCTTCTGCCTCAGCCCTCCAAGTGGCTGGTGCCATCATGCCCAGCTCAGTTTTTGATGTATTTTAGAGAAGAGATCTCACCAAATTGCCCAGGCTGGTCTCGAACCTCTGGGCTCAGGCAATCCTCTCACCTCCACCTCCCCAAGTGCTGGAATTACAGGCATGAGTCACTGTGCCTGGTCTGAATTTTTAGTTTTTTGTGGAGATGAGGTCTTGCTATGTTGCCTAGGCTGGAACTCATGGACTCGATTAATCCTCCTGTCTCGGCTTCCCAAAGTGCTGGGATTACAGGTATGAGCTACTGCGCCTAGCCTCCCAGAAAAAAACTGACTATGGAAATAAACCTACAAAAACAAAGCCCAACATTCTGTGCACAACATTCTTTCATGGAATTCACGTAGTAAGAAACCAAACACAACAAAGCTGCAAGGAAACTGATGCTAAATCAAGATTTTGGCACTTTTACTGTTCTGGGAAAACAAAATCTAGAGTTTCGGATTGGTCAAGGAGAAGCCCTGGTGAACACTAGGGGACTAAAAACAAACTGGAAAGAGACCAGCCTTGTCTATTTCAAGGAAATCTACCACTACTCCATATATCTGCCAGAACAAAGTTAATTCCTTCTTCAAATATCATGCACAGCCTCTACAATTAGGGTGCTAGTAACAATGCAAAAGATAGGTTTTCAATGTTTTTACAACTGATGAAGCACAACAAAAGGTATAGTCTGAGGTTCATTTCAGTTTTTTTCCCCCTAAGTAGGATGTACCACAAATTCCCATCAATAGTAAAGTAGGTATATAAAGGGCAAAACATTGACAGAACCACAGAACAAAGAAAGAACAAATTAGTATCACACAACATGGTTCAATTCATAGCCAGACACAAAAAAGTACACTTTACATGAGTCACACTAGGCTGCCCATTACTCCTTGTTGCAGTTACAAACAGACTTCATTTCTTGAAGATTTTAGCATCAGCCTCATTGTCTCACTTTCTTCTACTATTCTGATCATAATTCTTGATAATTTCAATTTTCCAATTACTCTATACCTACTCCCACCAGCTGAACAAGAAAGAAAAAAACCACAACCATTCATATTCACTTTAAATTTATTTCCACAGAGTTTAAAAGAAACTTCAGTTCAACTCAGCAATCCTAATATTACCTGATTTTTTCATCGAGTCACTCTTATAGTCACTAAAATCTCTTAGAAAACACTTCACTTTTTCTTCCTTCCTCAATCTTCAATCTTTTCTTTCTCTTTAAATAATAGCTGATAACTTGACTTATTATTTCACTGAGGAAGTAGAAACAATCATAAGGAAACTTTCAGATATTCTTATTTGTCCCTACTGGTAAATTCAATGACTGATTCTGAGTCTTCACTTTTCATGATCTATCAGTAGCATCTGACCTCACTGATCACTCCCTCCTTGATATTTTCTGTATTTTTTTCTTTTTAGAGATAAGATCGTGCTCTAATACCCAAGCTAGAGTGTAGTGGTATGACCATAGCTCACTGTAGCCTCAAACTCTTGAGCTCAAGCAATTCTCCTGCCTCAGCTTCCTGAGTAGCTAGAACTACAGATAGACACTATCACATCTGGCTAATTTAAAAAATTTTTAGTAGAGATGGGGGCTTGCTATGTTGCCCAGGCTGGTCTCAAACTCCTGGCTTCAAGCAATCCTCTCACTTGGACACCCGAAAGTGCTAGGATTACAAGCATAAGACACTGTGTCCAGCCTCTCCTTGGTATTTTCTTTCCCTGAACACCACACTGTTCTGGTTTCCCTCTTATCATACCGGTTGCACCTTCATGTGCTCCTTTGTTATTTCTTATTCCTTCAACCTCTTAATATTGAGTGTCCAGGATATAATCTTTCGTTGTCTGTCTTCTTGAGCTCTACTACTCATGCCCTTAGAAATATCGTCCAATAAGATCATGACTTTAAATCCAACTTTTAGATATTTGATCATGACTCCTAACTTTGTGTCTCTAGCTCAAACCTCTTTATCAACCTGTATAACCAACAGCTTATTTGTTACCACCCCTCAGCAAGTCTAAAATTGTCCTGATCTTCTTCTCCTAAACCTGACTGTCTCACACACTTCCATGCAAACTAAATCCTTTAATTTATTCAGGTCAAAAACCTTGGAGCCTTGATGACTGACACATTCTCTTTCTCTCCCCCTTCTCCAGGTCAAATTTGCCAAGAAATCCTGTTAATTCTACTTTCAAAATGGATTAATAATCTAACCACTTCTTATCACCTTCACTGCCACTCCCCTGGTCCAAGTAATTAACAGCCTCCTACCTGGACTCCCTATCCCCACCTATCTTGCCCATACCTATTTTCAACAGAGCAGCCTTTTAAAAGGCAATGTTGTTACTCTGTTCAGAGTCCTGCACTGGCTCCCCTTTTTACCAAAAATAAGAACCAAATTCTGTACAATGGCCTGTATGGACCTATTGATTTGCTTCTTCCTGCCGTCTGTTATCCCTCTGATCTCATCATTTACAGCTCTTCACTCTGGTCTAGCCACACCGGCCTTTTTGTTATTCCTTGAACACAATAGTCACCCAACCACTTCAGGGACTCTGCATTAGCTATTCTATTTGCTTAATAACTACTCTTGCACTAGATATTCACGTGACTATCTCCCTTGCTTTCTACAGATCTTGGTTTAAATGCCACCATAACAATGCAACCTACCGGCACCCTGGCACTCCCATCCCTTTGCCTGGCTCCACTTTTTCTATTTTGTACAACTCTTATCACCTTCTAACATACTATACAGTTATTTATTATGTTAATTATTTATTGTCTGTCTCCTTCTAATAGAATGTATCCTCTATCATAGCAAGGATCTTTTTTGTTGTTGTTTACCACCATATTGCCTAGGTAGCGCTGGCATATATTAAGTGTTCAATAAATATAGGTCCAATGAAAGACTCTGGAGCCATACACATTTTTCCTGTGACCATGGATGAATTCTTAGTGCTTCTAGATATGGATGATATGTACATTAAGTCTCAGCCTCTCTCACCTCAATGACTTTGCTCTTGCAACTACTCCCTCTCTATTATATCATTTTTTCCCCTTTACAGATCATTATAATCAGCATATAAATCTTTCAAAACCTTTCCTTGATTCAATATATTTCAATTGTTACTTTGCCATTTCTCATTTTTTTTACAATAATACTAGAAAATTATCTATATTCACTGACTCCACTTCCAATATTTCATTCTCTTAACTTTTCACTTATCCTATTCAGAACAAAATTCAAAGCTCTTATAATGGCTCAGTATAGTCTGGCCTCTCATTGGGCCTCTGACATTCTCTTCTACCATGCTCCCCTCACTCAGCTCCTGTCATACTGGCATCCTGGCCATACCTACTACTGATGTCTATGCAAGGAATAATTTCAAATCCTATATATCAACGTTTTCTTTAGTTAAAGATCTTCACTTCAACACCATGAAAGACCTCACTGAAGCAGTTACTTTCCTATGGAATTTTCTTACCTTAACTGGGGAACGTGTCATCATCTCTCCAGATCCTCTTGGGAATATTCGTGCTTGAGCAATCATTTCCAACACACTAGTTTTTCCAGCACTCTGATCTCCCACAACAACAACCTTACAACAAATGACATTTATTCATATTTTTGTGAAACCAATTAAATTTAAATAGATTTAAAATGCTGCCCTGAGATTTTTAGTCTTTTAAAATATCTATGGTCTACAGAAATGAGTATTTAAAAATCCATAAAAAAATGATGACTGATACTGTATGCACACTGAAGATATAAAGATGAAAATATTAATTGAATCTATTATGTATAGGTGAATTTTATTTAAAAACATACACTAATTTAAACCACTATTTCTAAACCCAGATTACTAATTTTCCACAAATATTTTCCACAGCTAGATTACTCTTTACAAATTTTCAATTCTATTAGGTTCAATTCCACTCAGATGTCTAATATAATCCACAATTTAGTATTTTAATAATATGAATAAACAATGTCAAATATCTGATAGCCTTCATAATACATAAATATAAATATATAAATAAGGTACTTATACTTATTTATAATTCTAGTGGACCAAAATAAAGAGTCAAATAATATTCAAATTATGACATCACCTAAGATACATGAATAACATATGTAAAAAAAATGCCGATGTCTTTGTGTGTGTATGTGTATGTTTATGTGTACATAAATTTCTAAGAAACTGTGTTTGTTTTTCTTTGCTAATGGCCATGTTCAGTGTCTTAATTTTTTACTTACCCGTGGCAGATGATCTTGCGTATTATAACTGGCATCATAATCAGAAAGAACATCAAGAACTTCAGAATACATGTCAATCAAAGATTTCTGTAAAATTTAAAAAAATTAATAAAACAGTGAAAACAATAAATAAAAAAAGAAATACATGTGTCAAAAGAAAAAGCTGATAAATTCTGTTTTTCCATAATCACTGTATTGTTTTTCTAATTACACATCTTCACAATAAAGTCTAAAATTCCATTTCTTCTTACTAAGTTTATTTTATCTACAGATATAGTAATTTAATAGTTTTCAAATTCGTATTTCCTAACCTAATTAAATAATAACAAATTATTAATGCTGATGAGTTAATATTAAATATCCAAGAGATGAAGACCATTAACACCAAAAAGGCCAAATATGAGGGCAGGTAACCAACTAACAATGAAATTATACTTTGGCAAGTTTGATGTAAGCGTGACATAGAGAGGAGAGAGGACAGAGAGCATGTGCAAGCAAGTGCCTGAAGAAAGGATATAACTAGAGAAATGTTTACCAAGAAGATTATAAAACAGCAAGAGTCGATAAGTGGGCTATGACAACTGGGCTGGCTAAACTATGCGAGTATCAGGGCAGACATCCTGTACTGTTTCTCTCTGTATAATCAGAATTGAATATGGTGCCTTATATACAATAAGCTTCAAGTAATTATCTGAAGAATAAATGAACAAACACACAAATAAAGAGGCTTATAAAACAAAGGGTACCATAGAGCATTTAATAATTATAGATATGTTTTAATGCTAAGGCAGGAACAAAATGAGAACTTAAGGTTCCTTTCATCCATTAGAACCTATAAATAATTAAACAGCAAATAACTGCCATCCCATCCACCTAAAACAGATAAACAGATTTACTAAAAGAGATAAACAGATTTACATTACATTTTCATTGCATTTTATGAGAGAAAATACCATTTCTGAGGTAAACTCTTGGTATATGAGGGGAACCTCCCAAGAAACCCTGGAATTTATTTATAAAAAATTGTGTATTTATTTTTACATGCTTAAACTTCAGTCACCTTCAAAGTACTCTCCGTTTGATGTAAAACACCTATCCAGACATTTTTCTCTACTGTTCAAAACAGTTTTGAACTTGTCAATTTTGATGCCTAAAAGTGTTTCTGCTGTTTTTTTGTTTCACCCCTTCCACACTGGCAAAACATTTCCCTTTGAGGACTTTTATCATCCGGGGAAAAAAAGTCACTTGAGGAGAGATTGGGTGAATAGGGAGGGTAGGGCATGGGGGTCTTGCCGTTTTTGACTAAAAACTGCAAATGTTTAGCATGGTGTGGGCAGGTGTGCTCAAAAATTTTCCATCATAAAATGGGCATCTTGAAAAAAATCTCCAAAAAAAAAAATTCACTGAAGCCAAACACAACCTCTCACAAAGCTAGCGGGTACACTGATGCCAATGGGTTCCTAGAACACTTACCTAGTGGGGGAGGCCTGTACTACAAGGGACCCATCCCCCCCAAAAATAATTTTGTTTTTTTTTGTCCTACCTTGTATGTTAATACATCATGCTATCTACTTTGTGCAGTCATGATTTAGAGTCAAAGTTACTGAAGCATATTAGAAATATATCTCACTACAGAATGTATGTGCCATGATTTACCAGTTTTGCTACATACAAATTCTGTTTATTTATATGAGATTTAAGTATATGGTAATTACCAATGTGCTAATGATAACATACCAGCATATTCTTTTTCAAAAATTCTTAATGCCTAAGAAACCATAACTTAGAAGAAAAATGTTAATTAAAAAAAATAAAATAACTGAAGAAAGTGGCGTGATCAGTCATTCACTGGCAATACATCTAAAGCCATGATGATAAGTCACTTAAATGTCCATCAAGCCCAGACTTCTTCACCACTATACTATGTAATCATGTAACTAAAAACTACTTGTACACCATAAAGCTATTGAAAGAAAAAAAAAGAAAAATAATTAAAAAATAAATGTCCATCAAATAACAATTCTGATTTATTAAATGAAGATAAAGTAGCTATTTCAGAAAAATAAATTGATTAATAAGAAATGACTCCTAAAAGTAGGAAGATTTTATGGGCACAAAAGGAAACAAATTTTGGGGGACTACAATTTCCAAAATGTTAATTGAACATAGTTCTTTAATATGGGAGACACTCTATTCTCTTACGACATTAGGTCAGAAAGAAAAGGATGATAAAATACAGTTCCTAAAAACTGGTATTGATGAACATACTATGTTAAGTAGCAAAGCTCTGAGAATTAACAAGTTAAGATAAATTTAAAATACCTTCAGCTTTCTATGATGGATGCCTTTGTCATCTTTCTGCAATACTAATTTTCTTAATTCTTTGTTCTCCTTTTCTAATCGTTCCAAGATTCTCTGATACTTTAACTGCAACAAAATAATACATGTAACTGTATAAGAAAAACATAGGTTAACAAATAATATTAAGTCCAAATCAAAATCTTCTAAAATCCTGAAATCCTATTTTAAACAAAGCATTACATTTTAAAATGAAAATGTATGAAAGTCTATGAAAACACTGAGAGAATAAACTATGACTCGTACCTCATACAAATGGTAAAATTCGTTATAATTTTCTATCATAAGTTAGCATTTAATTTGGAAAAAGCCTTGCTACAACCATTGAGGAAATTATTTAAAAATGTAAATATCTAAAGAAGTAAGCTCTAAGTATATTCTAGGAAGCAAAATTTCCTATTATATCAAAATTTTAAAACTTCATTTACAGGGCTATTTGACAAAAAATCAAATTCTTCCCATTCTCCATATTCTTTTATGTTTCAATTAAGATGATATAAAATAAGAGCTGGCAGTTCCTGAGCATGCATTATGTGACAGGCCCTTTACTAAGTGTTACAGTAACTCCTTTAGCCTTCATAGAAACCCCATAAAGCAGGAGTTATACAGACTAGGAATTTGAGATTTGGAATGTTTGATAGGCTGCTAAGGTCATCCGGCTTATAGAAGGCGAATGAACACTGTTTTCAAGCTAAGTCTACGTCAGAGCTCAAAGTTTTGTTTAGTTTCCATGTCCAAAGTTAATATACTAATATTTTTAAAAATGATACAAAAAGTATCTTAAGAAAATACTAATATGTTAGGTTATTTTGTCAAAGTAGTTGCTTGGCTACACATTTTTATTCTAAAACTGATTCTTTCTAATGTGTCTTCCCTGGTTATTATTGTTCCTCTCAACATTAACAATGTTGAGAAAATTATTAAAAATTATTCCTTCTCACAATCAGCAGAATGTCTATGTTCAACTTATAATACCATGTCCTTTATAGTGAAAAATATTCCTTAGAAATTTTTTTAGGCTGTTGTAATCTTCTAAGAACAAAGTAAGTAACATGAAATCATGGTCCTATCATCAGAAAATGTTCAACTTAAGCCAAATTAAAGGAAAACATACAAAGTTGAACTATATATATATATATATATATATATATATATATTACACGAGTAGAACTACTGGCTAGATTCTAATGTAACATATTTTTACATAAACTTGTTCATGTATATCTTGTAATAGTATACATAACAAATTCTGGTAGCATCTAAGGATTAGATCTTTGCTGTTTAATATGGCAGCCACCAGCCACAAATAGCTATTGAGCACTTGAAATGTGATTGGTCTGAATTGGGATGTGCTGTGAGTGTGAAATATCTCATTAATATTTTTTATAATTATCATATGTTGAAATGATACTACTTGGGATAGACTGGGTTAAATATACAATTAAAATTAATTCTAGCCGGGCTCGGTGGCTCAGCCTGTAATCCGGCGCCTTTGGGAGGCTGAGGTGAGTGGATTGTCTGAGCCCGTGGGTTTGAGACCCACCTGGGCAGGCGAGACCTCATCTCTACAATAAATAAAAAAAATCAGCCGGGCGTGGTAGCGCATGCCTATAATTCTGGCTACTTGGAAGGCTGAGGCGGAAGGATCGCCGGAGCCCAGCAGGTCGAGGCTGTGGTGGCCTGGAGCGGCCACTGCACTCCAGTCTGGGCGACAGAGTGAGACTCCAATTCAAAAAATTAATTCTACCTGTTTCTTACTATCTTTTTTAACGTGAAAATTAAAATTATACATATGGCTTGCATATTTCTATTGGACACCACTGATATAGATAACCTCATGGTTTATTATATCATGAATTCCCCATTCAGTGTTGTGGAGATGCCCAGTGGTTGCCATTACAACTGTACAAGTCGAAGGATTGATATCAATGGATATGTACAAATGGTAGGATTTCCACTGGCTCATTTCTTTGAAAATATGAAATCAATTTTGAGGTCCACATTCTCTGGGGATGGAAACATTCTTTGGAACAGATGCCAATTTGTAGCCATCCTACAGAGACATACCATTGGGCTGTGCACAAAGCTCTGGAATAATAATTCTCAAACTTTAGAATGTATCAGAATTATATTGAGGGTCTTTAAGAACAGATTGTTGGGTTCTACTTCCAGAGTTTCTGATTCAATAGGTATGGGACAGGACCAAGAGTTTGTATTTCTAACAAGCTTCCAAAAGATGGTGATGCTACTGCTCTAGAGACCACACTTTGAGACAAATGATTCTTAACCCCTGGTTGCAGATTAGAATCACCTGGCTAGAAAGACTTTAAAAATATATATGGTGCCACCCAGATCACAATTGAGTCTAGTGTATAGTCAGACATCAGGCCTGTTGTCTCAAAGTATACTTGTAGATTGAGTGTTTGTAATTAAAAAATCCAAAATCCTTTTCTAAATGCTCCAAAATCTGAAACTTTTTGAGTGTTGAAATGATGGAGAATTTTGGATTTCGGATTTTTAGATTAGAGACATTGAACTGGTTAAGCAGCATTTTGAATAAGAGATACTAAACCACAGTTATTTCATCCATATTGAGACATATTATTTATTTTTTTACTGTAAAGAGACCCACAATAATGTCATATAATTTTAAAAAATAACTTCTTACACATCTTTAAAATAATAATTTTATCATCATCTAAAAGAAAATAACTTTTCGAAGCAGTGCCAGAAATGCCTTTACAAAAGTATTGTCTAATTGGTTTCAGGCTTCAGAGAAGCAAAGTAAAAGGTTTCTGAGGGTTCACTAAAATTATGTGGTAAATTCAATTCACATTTAACTGTTACCTAAATTAATTAACTTATCAATGTAAAAATGCAAGCATAAGTTTATATAGGGACAAATCACTTTCTCCCATTTTTTCCTTTATAATTAGATACACAAAGTTTACTCAAAATAGGTTTTTACATGCAAATAAGTTAACTGTACACTTATCTATTCCTTCTTTATCCCTTATTTATCAAGTAGCTTTTGTGTTTATTGATAATAAGTTTCCATCACTAAACTATTTCAAATTTTACTTTGTTAAAAAAAATAAATTTCCACATCACCAAAGTTACATTAGAATTTTAAAAGTTCTTATTTTTTCTTACTTATAAGAATTACCTGAGTGTGTAGAAGTTCTTCTTGAAGTTGGTCAATTTTCTCTTTATCTGACACCTAAATATTTAAAATAAATTAATTTTGAGTATACTTGGGTTTACATAGAACATATAGCAAGTTTAATTTTTTAAAAAGTATTCAGAGTTAGAACTACTGGCTTTCTATGCATATGTAACCAAAGTGAAGTTTAAATCAAGTGATTATTTAAGAAAGTAAAACTACTTGTATTCATCAATAAAAATAGCTCATCAAAATTTTATATTAAATAAAAACCTTAAAAAGCATCACTTTTCTGACTAGAAGAAATTCTAGTCATTTTTTATGGAAGGCTAGTTAGAAAAATAAGAGATCAACACATATAATTATTATATTCTTCAAAGGTTGTTTTGTACTGAAGCACAGGGACTTAGATGCTTGGAGAAAGTACTGATATCCTTCAAGAAATGTGTTCCAGAAAATCAAGATAAAAGTCACCACTTATAGCTATTGAAAAAGCTAATTGGCCATAGTGTATCTTTTAAGGAAATGTTATCCATTTCTGCACTTAAAGTAGGGAAGTGTATAATAAATGCAAACAAAAACTTGCATTTTCAGAGCTTTAAGTGGAGCCAGATGCTTGTTTTTAAATTCAGTTATCAATGCAAGATCTGCTAATCCATAATACAGAGAATGCATCTGCTGCAATGAAGCCAAGTAAAGCAACTAAAATTGACTTGAACACAAAACAAAAACAGAACAAAATCCACAGGTATTGTGTAAACTACTTCAAATTGTTATTAATGCTAATAGTTACAAATATTCTGGGTACTCTAAATATTTTTAAAAACCCAAAGAGCTTTATTGTATAAGCGGTTTTAAAGTAGTCACAATACAATTATAAATACAAAATATGGTGACCAATTTTAATAAAAATGATGTCATGTATGACAAATCCACATAACTGCTTTAACTTCTTGGTGAGGTGCAGAAGTTGTCATCCTCAGCCTTTAAAAATAATTGTCTAACTTCTGAAAATAAAAACTTGTAAATATGAATTTACTTCATAGGAGAAAAAAGTTAAATTCATATTTTTCATTTAAATCCTTGGTGATCTCCATTAGCTATTTAAGCAATCAAGGCATCATGGGAGCAAATATATATGAAAAATTATAAATGATTTGATTACTGAGGAAGACATTAATAAGTCCTGTCCACACTATAAAGTTATTTTCCAATTTTAATCATTGCTTCTAAGTACTTTCAAAAAATTTCTCAAATTTTAATTTCAATAACATAGATAACAATGCTTGCTAGAAACAAAGGGTACATTTTTTTTTCTTGAAAGCATATGCCCAAAAATCTCCAAAAATGGAGATTTTATCTTTTAGAAAAAAGATAATATAATACAAACTTTGGTTTCACATTTCTGTATATTAAGTAGAGACTTTTTTACAGAAACCTTTTCATTTTGATTATACGTGTTTATATAGAATGGACAAGAATTATTAACAGTCTCCTGAACTGTGAGGAGACACGCAAGTTGGAGAGGCTTTCGCAACCCAAAGAACAAAATCTTGAAGGTCAATGAAGAAATAAATAATTCCACATTATGTTCATATGACATGCCATCATACTGTAATAATAGTGTGGTAATTAATCTAATCTGTTATGCAGATGAAATTCCCAATTCATTTTAAAAGGTACTTTGATTTACTTTGTTCCATTAACTAACTATTCATCCAACTGTAACTAAATTAGTATGAAATGTACAAACAATATTAGTATCAACTATTTTAGTTTTGAGTGTAAATATTAACTGATTTCATGCAACATAGCCTAAATTACCATAGAAAATCTAACATTACTTGACATCTGGAACAATAATTAAAAAGCTAATACAGTTAGAAAAATTATAATCTTTATTATAAACCAAGGACTATAAAAGGCTAATTTAGTAATTTGTTAAAATAAAAAAGGTTATATAAAAAGCTAAAATGATATATGGTTATTAGAATATTACAAACACAATTTCTAAGCTAATATTAGTATTTAGTAATCACAACTGTTAAGATTTTTATAAATTTGAATGTTTAGGTATATTTAAGTCTATCATTTGCCTTTCTGGTACAATTGTTAAGAATAATTCATGCATGGTTTACAGACACACTTCCTAGCTGCTTTTAATTGAACAACAAAATTAATCTCAATGTATTAAAAGACAAGTTGTGATGGGTAGGATCAAGAATCAGACTTAATATTTTCTAAGAAACAAAGTAAAATCCTATAGGTTTATGAAACAAATATTAAAGACTGATGAGAACATACTTTATTAAGAGAATAACCCAAATTATTTTTAATCTGTCACTTATTCTAGGTCTTAACTAGCAAAATTGAGGTATATTTTATTTGATGTGCTTTACTGGTAAAATTCATCCACTTACAACAAGACTAAGTTAATGTCCTGTTGTTTAATATATTCAGTCTGCATTTCAAAATTTAAAACTCACCCTGACAGAAATCGGTATCAATGGTCTTGAAACCAGAGCTTTTCTACAATTCCAGGGCTGTGAAATAGATGGAGAAAGAGCGGAATCCTCCGCAGAAACAAGCTACAGCTGAAAGAGAAAAGCCTTTACTAGCTCCTCACAAAACCAAGCCTGATTTAAGAAATTAAATATTTTTTCCTATTAAGCCATTGTGGCTAGTCTGAAATACTGAAATATACATATATCCACGAAGCAAAACCACCAAGGGCAGTTTTAATCTACTGTGGGCTTGGGCTCTTTTGCTCAGAGATCTAGGGAAAATTTATTAATTGCTACTAATAAGAAACTAAAAAATGATGACCTACTTAAATTTTGAAGACGGTAAGGGAAAAAGAAACATTAAAAAGCAACAAACAGTACTTGTGGTTCTGTGCCTTGCGTAATTCTCAAATGCCTGGGATGATAATTACTTCATTATAAAAAAGTAAAAGTTATTTTTAAAGTCTCATTTACTTTCACACAAGGTAGTAGGCAGGGACAGGTGCTGTTCGGTGCTCTAAGTGCACCGTAATAAACAAAACAAATAGAGGTACAGTTTTGCCAATCTCGAGTTTACGTATGGGGAAAGGGAGGTATAAAAGGGGCAAGTAGAAAATCTAATAAATATCAGAAATAGGAACAGTATCTATACACCTGAACAAAGACTAGTAAAGTAGGTCTAAAATGAACATTAACCTTCAGCAATGTAGAAAATGAATAGCATTCATTACTAATATCCCGTCTGATTCAAAAGCTCATTGTTAATCTTAAACTATACTTTACAATGCTAAAATAGCAGGTATGTGGGATTTATTTCAAATTGTCTTAGAATTATGAAAAACACTTGAACAACTTACAACTAGAGCTGTATTTGTATTTCTAAGTATTATAACAGAACATACTAGCTCCGCCCCTTTCTTTCTGTAACAAAACTAAGGTATGGATGGCTCAGCCTAAACATCCAATTCATCAGGATATTTACTTTTAATTTTTAATTTTTATTTTTTGAGTTGTAGTCTCACTCTGTTGCCCAGACTGGAGTGCACTGGCCGCTCCCGGTCACTGCAGCCTCCACCTGCTGTGCTCCGACGATCCTTCTGCCTCAGCCTTCCAAGTAGCTGGAACCACAGGCACGCGCTACCATGCCCGGCTAATTTTTGATTTATTGTAGAGATGAGGTCTCGCCAAGTTGCCCAGGCGGGTCTCGAACCCGTGGGCTCAGGCAATCCACTCACTTCAGCCTCCCAAAGTGCTGGGATTACAAGCTGAGCCACCAAGCCCGGCTCATCAGGATATTTAAATGGTATACTCACAGCTAACAGAATAGAAAATGTTAAAGTGCCATTCAAAATAGATCCTCCTTGGCTTACCACATCTAGTTTGATTTAACCGTGTAGGAAAACAATTGCTTATTTTTTCTACCTATGTTATTCATTCACTGAAAGCTAAATATACAGGAGTTGATTCCACAGCCATGGAATTGAGAAAAGTCAGAAAGTGATGCTGAGAAAACAAATGAAATTTTGGTAAGTACTCTAAAGTATTAACCACCACCAAGTGAGATAAGGTTAGTAAGCAGAATTATTGCAGTAAATCATTACTTATAATACTGGTCGACTTAAATATCAGAACCTACAAGAATCGTATGACTGAATCTTCTTCTGAAAAGGTTTATATATAACTTTAAGACTATTTAATTGATATAACATAATTAGCTTATTTCAAGATCTCAAAGATCTCAAGATGTCAAGTTTTATCAAAACTTTAAAATCATTACAGTTATTTCACTTTGACCTAAAGTCTCTTCAGAACTTCAATCTTGAAATCTACATTGTGGGATTACCTAAAAGTCAAAATTGTATTTTTAAGGACCAGTTGATTGCATCAATAACCAAATATTTGTATAGATTTATGCTTTTATTAGAATCTGTTCTTTAGTGACTAGAATTATGTCAAATGTCCAATGTTCAATCCCTCAGTGGTCCAGTGAAAATTTATTTGTACCTTATTGATTAATATGAGAAAGTTATACCATGAGTTTATAAAAACTACATGCTTTTGCCCAAAAGTCAAAATAATTTTCTTTTCTCATGAGTGTTTCCTGATGATACATTTTAGCTAAAATAAATAATAAGTGTCATTATTGAAGTAATTTAAACTGGTCATCTACAGCAATCTTTTTCATTTTAGAAATAAAATCTTGGAGAACAAATAGATGAGTTGGCTACAAATTCAGGGTGATTTAATAACTGGATCACATAAACAGCAATTCATAACCTTAACTATAAATCCATGTACCCTCACAGAAACCTAGTTTTCAGAAATCTAATTCCTATGCTTGAGCTTGTTATTTTGGGCATTGTCTATACTACCTACTGCAGAAAAAGCTACATTATTTATGTAATAAAGCTTCTATTATTCTACTTTGCTAAAAATCATCTCTCATCATTGGAGTTCATGAATGGATTAAGGCGACATGATCTTGGCAGAAATGACTGATTAGAGAATATGTCAGTAGCCCCCTTAGACCATCCATCACCTTGCGCTTCTGTTGGGCATAGCTCGTGCTATATTGGCCAGTGGCTCTGCGCGCTTCCTCTTCATGCTCTTGAATTTGCTGTTGTAAGAGAATGAGCTCACCAAGCAGACCCTGCCATGAGTTTACAATGAGGAGGAGGAGATGGGGAGAACAATGTTAAACCAAAGGGCACAACAAAGGAACAGATGTAAGACAGGGAGTGATGGAGAGCTTAAAACAAAAATGGAAACTCATGTACCTTTAGAGCCATCATACAGTTGGGCTCTGTACTGCGTTTCCATTTTCCCCTTCAATAAAATTAGATGTCTCAGAAAAATAAAACAGCATAGTTTAAAAAGTGAAAAGGAAAATACAATGATTAGTGCTGAATAAAACAAGCCAGAGATATAAAAATATACAGTAAAACCTAGACTAACTGGAATGCTCAAGAAGGTGGCATTGTAGTTTATTAAATTTCTTGGTAACAAGAAAATCAAGAAAAGACTTCAATCCTTATTTTGGAATTGTCAATATGTACTAGTATACGCTACTGACTTGAAACATATGGTAAGAAAACCAAAACCAATTTTTTTAAGTGTTAACCTCACAGACCTAAATCTTCTAAAACTCAATCATAATTCTCATAGGACTGACTGAAGATCATAAAGCCTTATTTACTTACTAAATTACTATTCTTAAGTAAACATTCGATAAATCTGATTTCTTCAATTAAAGATTGCCGTTCCCAGAGACCCTATTATAAATAATTTGAGTTTTCCAGCATCAAGTTAATCAAGGTTTTACATTAGCTCATATAGTCTATGTGCCTTTGCACACAAACTTATTTGAATAAAATTTAGAGCTTTTTGGAAATTAAAAAATGTTTTAGGTTCTGTTTTGACTTTTTATAATATCAAATATCCAGTCTGATTGAATTTTCACTTTTTATAAGCTGTTTTGACATTAAATAGAAATTGCCTGAGAATACATCCTGATGTATATCAATTACTAAACAAAATGTACTATAAAAGAACATAATTATGCTATAAAGACAATATAGTTATTATAAAAATTAAAAATGAAACAAAAGCCAGTTTGGACCTAGGCACAAAGTAATCACGTTTTCTATTTCTAAAATTAATTCCATTTTATAATCATGAAATGTTAAATTAACACATTTTTTATTACAACATATTCACATATAGTATGATACAAGAATACATGTCATTTTCTGCATAGTCTTATTCATTGCTGGCTAATTAGATAATTAACCTTGAAAAATGTGGGGAGAAAGACAATTAAGATTTGACAATGTCACAAGCCTAATATTGTCTCAACCAGAAATCTTTAAAAAAGTAAAGTTTCAATGACTGAGGTAACAACTTAGTTTGTACAAGAATGGTGTTCTGTGAGAACACCGGGCTCAGTTTTTACCAAGTTATAAAATAAAAAGTGTTAGGAAAACTAATACCGATTAAAATATTCTAAATGAGTAGTTTTGGAATTTTTTGAACGGCTGCCAAAAATATTTTATTTTATTTTGCATACATGTCATTAGAAAGTGTCTTAAAATAAACACTGGTGATATTGCATTCAAAATTTAATTAGTATACTTACCCAGAGGCTTAATTAAAATTCACTTTATATAATACAAAGACTTACATAAACATAAAAGTTTTCCAGAAAAGAAGTACAAACAGAAATATAATTTGGAAAATCTTTATTTTGTTTGATTCTCAGTTTTGATAATTAGGCTGTGATCATTGCCAATAGTAGACAATGAATGAAACTGGTCAATTTACTATAAATTGAAGAATGAAAGCTAGTTAATTTTTCCCATGACAAGTGAAATTCAACATTTGTTTCCAAATTCAATAGCACAAAATTTGTTTTTAAAAATCAAAAGTTATCTTTAAAGACACATCTTTTTAGTTGTGTTTATGGTGACTAACAAATCTATCAAGGAAAGACAATGCCAACTAGCTTACTACCCTCATCACTTACATAATTTTTTGTCTTTTTTGGAATCTGTTTTTCATCAAGCAGAAAAAAAGCAATTTGACTTATTTTCATTTATTCAAGCTGGGCTCGGTGGCTCAGCCTGTAATCCCGTGCCTTTGGGAGGCTGAGGTGAGTGGATTGCCTGAGCCCGTGGGTTCGAGACCTGCCTGGGCAGGTGAGACCTCATCTCTACAATAAATAAAAAAATCAGCCGGGCATGGTAGCGCATGCCTGTAATTCCGGCTACTTGGAAGGCTGAGGCAGAAGGATCGCCGGAGCCCAGCAGGTCGAGGCTGCGGTGACCGGGAGTGGCCACTGCACTCCAGTCTGGGTGACAGAGTGAGACTCCAACTCAAAAAAAAAAAGAAAAAAAGAAAAAGAAATACTGTACTAACATAAAAGTTACTGATTGGTGGAAAAAACTTTAAGTAATATTGAAATATTATGCTATAGTCTGAATGTCCACTCATATTTTAAACCTAACCCCACAATGTGACAGTATTGAGAGGTGGGGTTGATCAGGTCATGAAGGTGCTGGGATTATTGCATTTATTTTTAAAAGGCCACAAAGAGCTGCCCAGCCCCTTTTGCTATGTGAAGACACAAAGAGAAGACACCATCTATGAAGAAGAGCACCCTCCCCATACAACGGATTTGCCAGCACCCTGATCTTGGATTTCCCAGTCTCCAGAACTATGAGAAATGAATTTCTAATGTTTCATAAGAAATCTCAGAATGTGAAATATAAATCCTACTCAAACAACACTACTTTATTCCAATTAAGAATATCAAGTAAATGAACCACTTTTATAGCCTTGTTCTCCTCAATCATTGCCAAATAGGAAGGCCAAGAAGAGTTCATAGGTAATCAAAGCAAAACATTTTGGGGCCCACCCTTGTTGGCATCAACCAAATTTATTTACTTTAAATTAACTTTTCTATTAAGTCAATCAACTAATTTTACTAAGAGCTACACACTATCCTAGGTGCTCTAAAAACAGAGTCTTTATGACTGAAATGGCCATTAAATAGTAAGAATACAAGCCAAAGTAAATAATGTTTCATATGGCAGATGTTTTAAACATTGGGTATAATTAATGGAACTAAAATGACTACGGAAGGCTTCATGAAGGTGACAATTGAGCTGTGCCTTAAGGATGAGTGGAAATTAGGTAGGAAAAAAAGAGATATTTCAGCTGGGAAGGTACCACATAAACTATAAAATCAGAATTTAGAGCAGGATGTTGGAAGCAAAAGTATTGGTGTATTACCAGTCAATAATTCTTTTTTAACAAGTAATACTACTTTTCATGATTTGGGCCTTTGAAAAGTCTTTCAAATATTTTCTATAAATTATAAGCATACTTGATACCTTCAGAATGGACGTATTCCTTACTTCTGCAAGATGCTCATAACCAATCAAAAACATGATAGAACAAAAGCACAGATAACAAGATGTTTCATTTAGCAAATCAATTTTCACTGGAACACAATCTTACAGAATCTAAAAAAGGAAATACACTAAGTGGTCTTGGTCACTTACACATACATATGATGACTGATATATAGAAATCTGCTATTTTCAAACCAAATGAGTCCATTAATTCACTAAAATAATCACCACTTTAATTCTCAGTTTGTCTTCAGGTATGTCAATCATACCTCAACAAAGTAGTCCAAGTTAGGTTAAACAAAAGTAATTTTACTATTTTTTCAATGCTTTATTAACTGAAGATACATATCAGAACTTTTTATCAACATAACATAAATAACTGGAGTCCACAAACTGAATGGATATAAATCCAGAAAATATAAAACGAAAGAAACTTGATACTTAGTTAGCCTGTGTAGCATTATATGGAAATATATGTTTCTGTAGACTTTTTGAAGACCTCTACTACAACTTTACAGCTAAAAACCTAGTGACCCCAGGCTGGGAACCACAGGTAGTCAGTTTACCATGTTGTTCATTCTGTCTGACTCAAGTCAAACTATCTGTGTTCCCCTCAACTCCCCGACACTTTCACTTCAGGTGACTCTGAATGGTTCTAACTGTTCTTCTACTTGCCAGCACTTCGTCAGATGTGTTCTCCTATTAGAAAGGACAAATCTTTTCTTTAGTTCTAGTCATAGAATGTTTTTCAACTATTACTACTTAAAAAAAAATCTGATTCATATTTATTTTTACATTTCTAGTAGAAATATAGCCATAAACTTTGTTATAAACCTGACAACCATTAAACTAACACATGACTATTTAAAATCTAAATACTATTTTAAATCTGGAGCTTTAAGACACCAGATTGAACCAATCAAAAAGGTATCAGCTACTCATTCACTGCAATTTATTGAAAGTCAACCCTCGACACAAGGGATTGTAAAGAAAAAAACAAAATAAAATTTAAAAAAAGAAAAGTTGGCCGGGTGCATTGGTTCACACCTATAATCCCAGAACTTTGGGAGGCCAAGGTGAGAGGACTGCCTGAGCCCATGGGTTCGAGACCAGTCTGGGCAACTTGGCAAGACTTCATCTCTACAATTAAAAAAAAAAAAAAGCTGGGCGAGGTGATGCATGCCTGTAGTCCCAGCAGCTACTTGGAAGGCTGAGGTGGAAGGATCACCTGAGCCCAGCTGGTCGAGGCTGTGGTGGCTGTAAGTATGCCATTGCACTCCAGTCTGGGGAACAGAGTAAGACTCAGACTCAGGAAAAAAAAAAGTAGCAGCTAAACTCTAGATGCCAATTTACCCCCCCGATTTTGCCCAGATTTTCAGACTTGATGTCTGAGTGATTTCAAAAAAGCTAAGATCTCTCCTTGCATGCTTACACTCAACCATCAACTTGTAGAGAAGTCTCTTAAAATCGGTCAGTTTTTCTGCATCTTGTCTGAGTAGCTCACTATTCTCAAGCACCACAGACAACAGTTAGAGTCAGGCCTCACAAACACAATACTGCATATTAATAGAGTTTAAAATCATCAGTTGGGCTGGAGATACTTTTTTGCATAGTAAATTTTTATAGTAGCATGTGCTACAAATTGACTTAACCTTTAATAAAAGCAGTTTAATTATAACTCTGGATTCAGTATTAACAAATAGTTGAAAAAATAACTGATATATTTTTAATGCACAAAACCATCACCATAAATGAAGAACACGTTAAAAGGAAATAGTCTACAAGGGCATTTATAGTCAAATAAACAAAGAAGTAAATTATACCTTGAAGCAATACTTTACTTTCATGTCTATTGTATAAAATGAAATCTGTAAATATAATTAAATTCCCCAAAAATACATTATCTTGCTTCTTCTATACTGCAGAGCTCCTGGTCAATTATTGATTATTCATTCATCACTTTAGCAGGATTTTTAAGGGAATTATCTGAGTCAAGCCCTGAAACAGGTTTGTCATTCACCAAAGTGATCTCAGGTCATTTCAGAGAGGAAGCAGAAATACAGAAATGAAGAGAGCAAAAAGAAATCTTGTCAAAGAACCATGCTACCACACCTGTAACAAGGGTTCCTTCTTCCCAGTTAGATCAGTTCATCTCTGTACTTTAAGTTTACTTGCCTTAAGGGCCAAAGTCTTGGCTCAAAATAAGCTGCACAAAGATCAAGTTAAAAGGCAAATATACATGCGCACACACACTTTGAAATAGGTTTTCTCCAAAAGGTAAAGTTAAAAGACAGAAAATATATATATTTTAAAATATAACTAAAATTTGGAATATCATGTAAAAAGTTCAAAGTTGAAGGACAGGGAAAGAGATGAAACCTGTACAAATAAATTATTTCTTCTTCTTGCTACCCAATAAACATAAAATTATTTCCTCCAATGTATTAAAACTACAATAATCTCCAGTATAAAAACTGCATTTCCATACTTAATTTTAGAATATTAATAGTATATTTTTGCTATAAATCTATTTATCTAGGTTTAAAAAAAAACTTTAAAAAAAGCTATTTTAACAATTACAAAAGAATGAAAAAAGTGAAAATTCAGAAAATGTCAGATAAACATGTATACAGAGCAATGTTATTCTACATCAGCAATTCTCCTATAACTTTTATATGCACTTCCACAACTTTACACAGATTTTGTTAAGGCATATGTGTTTAAATTGGCAAACCCTAAATAACTCCATACATGACTTTGTTAACTCCCAGTATCAGGGAATTGATTATTGCCTAATAATTCACTTCCTATTCACTTTAATATTTTTCGCTAAGTAAAACTTAGTACCTAGCAGATGTTTTAAGGAAAAAAAAAAGGGGGGGGGAGTTCGATTGCTAAATAAATTTGGAAAACCCTATACATTTTAACTTCTCTTGGAGATTCACAATACACACGAATATGTTAATGTCTGAGAAGTTCTAGGAAAAGGAGAGAAGTCTGCTTTTTTTAATCTAAAGAAGCTTTTCCCACACATATTTAAAAACAAAACCCTTTGTTGGGGACAACCCTTGAAACTAAAATTTCATAGAACATAGTTGAAGGAAATGGGTTTCTCTAATTTTATTTCTAAAACTGCCACACTATACCTTGTATTTTGCATTAAGATTAGTAATATACCTCTGCTCAGATGCTTTTGTATTTGTGCCTCAGATCTTACCATTTTCAGATCTTCAAAAAGGGTAAAAACTTTTAAAAATCTTTCAAGATTACCTATGTGGAATTCTCTTTTACACTTACCTTCCTATAATGCTTGTCATTTTCTGATCCATGATCCGTTGCTCGAAATGCTGTTTCTCCAGGTGAACCTTAAAGATAAACATGCAACCCTTTATATTCTCCAGTGAGGTCAATAACCTAATAAGCTAAACTCCAAATTATGTCTAATCAATTAAAAGGTAAACAAATTTTTAGGGCAACTCAGGTTCAAAGCATTACATCACCTTTATTCTTATTTTAGGAACATGACCATGACCTATGCAGAAAATAAAAAACTATAGGGAAAAAAAAAAAAAAAACTATAGAAATAAAAAAACTTTAACCTATTAAAAATATATATAACTGAAAGCTACAACAAAAAATAAGATAATCTTTGGTAAGAATTTTCTACATGTGAGTACTTACAGTTCAGCCACATAACTGCCATTTTACATCACATATAATAGGAAAAATTTACAATGTCAACTATGACAGGGCAGATGAGACAAACTAAAATTACTTTTCATTTCAATTATCAAAACCATTAGATCTATTTCAAGAAAATATTCTGGCTAAGCAAATTTTCTTTTAATAGCTTTAATCTTATACATACATATTTAGGAATTTTAGTTTTATCACAAAATAATTACTTTAGTATTTCCACCTAAAGGATAATGAGTTTCCCTAACATATTTGTGGGGTTTTAAAGTTCAGCATAAGCAGCATTATAAATTTGGTCTGCAATTTTATTTGCAACTAGTTTATTAGAAGCATTTAAAAGGCATGTTAAGGTCAGCAAAATGTCTGTTTACACACCTAACAAGAGAAGTAGGTCAGAAGCTCCTATGACTTCACTAACCAATTTGTGACCTGTGAAAAATCAGCAAGAGGGGAAATAGAAATGTAAAATTTAACAGGAATGAGCAAACAAAGATGTCTGAGATCTCAGATCTATATCATGATAGGGAATAATTGGACACATATGCCAGGATTAACCTTAATAAATTCTATTCCTTATAATCCATCATAGTTAAATTTGTTTTAAAATCACCAAATTGGTCAAACCAGTTATGAAAAGCAAATACATAGGAAGTCTCATCTACTTGTCAAGAACAAGTGATTCTTTTTCCCCCTCACTGACTAAATGCCACACATATTTAAGCTCTTATAAATGTCCTCTTTATTGGGTTAAACAAAGATTAAAACCATTGTGCAACAAAACTTTATGTTTATCACTTTTTACATTTGTATGAAATGTTTTCATTTAAAAGACGGGGAAACAATGACATATTTCTCCTCTGTGATTCTTGAAATTTTTAATTATATCAAATAGGTCCTTCCTTACCTGTGGTGAAAAAGTCCTTCAATAAGCTGAGGCTTTCAACAATCTTGTCAAAGTCTGGTGCTAACTTTACAAGGTCTTCTGAATTAGGAAGGGCTTTTCTAATTTTCTCTGGAAAAGGTAAAAACATATAAACAGTCTCAAAATAAGAACATGTGGAGATGGGTGGGGAGGAGGAGGTGGGAAAACATGTGTCAGATATTATTCTAAGGTCTAATAGTATTAAGTTGTTTAATACTCATGGCGACTCTACAACATATCTGCTATTATCAACCCCATTTAAACATGAGAAACTGGGGCAAACAGCAAGGAAATGGGGGGAGCCAGGGTTCAAGCCCAGGTATTCTACGTCTGGAATCAGTCTCTCAGTTACTACACTGTGGTACTGGCAAATGCATCAAGTTGAAAAGCTCTTCTTAAGAATATTAGAAAAACAATTTGAACGTGCACTTTTCCTGAAAGAACCTTTGTCAACACAGCACAGTTTTATCTTTAGAAGTGCTGTGAATAAGCTGGGTGTGGTGGCTCATGCCTGTAATCCCAGCACTTTGGGAGGTTGAGGCAAGAGGACTGCCTGAGCCCAGGGTTCGAGACCAAGCTGGGCAACTTGACGAGACCTCATCTCTACAATGAAGTAAAAAAATTAGCTGGGTGTAGTGGCGTGCGCCTGTAGCTCCAGCT